GGGCACCTTATGTCTCAAAGATAAGTCATACCTTCTCATCATTCTTCGACACCAACCCAAGCTTGCCTTGAACCCTTTCTCTGGAATGTTCATTTCCTGGGCAATTTCCAGGGCTTTCAGCTGCATCGCCTCCCTGGTGATAGGGTCTCCTTTGGCCTGCATATATCTGACGTATTCAGCCACACGCTGGTCCACCAGAGCAAACCTGCCATTCTTGGGGCCCCGGAATGCCCGCCGCATGGCGTGGGCGTTTTGGAGCTGCGGCTTTACTTTGCGCCAGTCTCGGACATTTTTTTCCAATACTCCGAACTGCTTGGCAGCCTGGCAGTTGTTGGTGCTCTCGGCATATTCCACCACCATTAACTTGAACCCTGCGTCATAACTACGACGCATGCCCCGACTGAACTGAAACTTCCCAGCAATATCATCAGCTGAGAGGTCATATCCAGGGAAGCCCATGGCCATGTAGAAGGGGTACCCCTCGCTCCACTCGGGCAGCTCTGTGAGGTCGCGCGGCAGACGGAGGCCGAAGTTGTCGAGGTGTGAAGGTGAGGTGCGAGGGAACTGGGAGGCGGCATTCACTGGACCTGCCCAATCTGGAGGCTTCATATCCATGTCTTCATTTTCTGGGAGAAAAGTAGAAAGGAACAAAAATAATGCCAATAAGTATAATGATTTCTGGTTTATTCCCTGAACTTCTGGTTAAAATGAAAGAATACCTTAATCTAAGCTTTACCAAAAATAGTAACTTTAATAACAGATGCTGTTGTTTGGAGCAGTCAAGCTGATTTTAAACTAATGTGACAGAACAGAACCACCCCAAAGGTTTTTCTACGTGGTACTCTTTACAGGAGCAGACCACCAAGTCTTTCTCCTGCAGAGGAGCTGAGTGGGTTCGAAAAACTAACCTTTCCATTAGCAGCTGAGGACTTCACTGTTGTACCATGAGAGTTCCTTTTAATAACAGAAACCATTTCATAAGTCCCTATCCATGTCTCAATTTATATGCATTACTTTTACTTAATTTCCACAATAACTGTATCTTTATTTACAGATGAGAAGAGTAAGGCTATAGAGATTAAGTAGCTAAGCTAGAAAGTGGTAGAATTAAAAGTGATAGAATTGGACACAAGCACAACTTGGACCAAATAATAATTTTGGGGCTGTGTTTGAGTCACAATAATTGTTATATGGATGAGAAACCAATATAACCCATAATCCCACATACTAATATCAAGATTTAGATGGACCATGGGCTGACTCAAATCCCAAGCCAAGAAAATCCCCAAAAGCAAAATCCACATTTAGGAAATTAAGCTTGGAAAGCACAAAACTGGTTTTTCATACCAATGGTAGAACTGGGTTTTATCAGGAAGTAGTTATAGAAATTGAGTAAGATTTTGGGAAATTACCGTATTTCACCAAAACTAAGATGTCACTAATTCTAAGATGCTCCTTTATGTGTCTTTAAGAAAGAAAGAAAAAAGTCACTAATTTAACTATGAAATGTCATCACTTTTAAGAGATATTCAAATACTTTCAGAGATATTAAAATGGTGGTGAAACATGTCTTAGAATCAATGAAATATGGCATTGTAAAACTCTTTCCTATAGAAAGAAAACAAAATCATTCTGTCTAGAGCTATGCTACTGTTTATCCAATTGCTCCTCTCCTAACCATATTCCTTGATGAAGGACTATATACTGCTTAGAGATAGATTTGTTTGAATATGTACATAGCTGCTATTGCTTTTCCTACTCAGTATGAAATGAATAAGAAGCCAAGGTAAATACCTCTGGAAATATGCCTCATCACACTACCCCTTGGTCTGCAGAGGCCCTGGTGCACTACTAAGGTGGCTACATTAACAAAAATGCCTGTCAGGCCAAATGTGCCATAAGCCTCACTTCCATTCATCAGCGCACACAATTGCACATCAAGCCTACAGGCTTATAGATGAGATGAAGAGATGGAGGTTCAGAGAGGGGAAAGATGTCACCTAGGGCCATAAAGCATCAGGAGACTTTTTTTTAAACACTAAAGCCTGTCTTTCTGTCATGCAGCCCTGATTCACTCTTGGGAGGCCCTATAGGATGTACACGGAACATACATGCCAGCTTCGTAAGGCTCCCATTTGAACGGATGTGGAATCAATTTAAGTGTACTACCTGCGAATGTTCCTCCTTGGAGCTGCCATGCTTTGGATTTCTGAGACTCTTCCTCCCCTTCCAGCCGAGTGATCATGTCTGGCTTAGGGAATGGGAATTCTGTTTATAAGAAACAAAACAGCTGTGTGTGACTGTCCTGAGCACTGCCAAAGTTAACTATCTTATAAAATGGGAGGAATCTCCCTGACCCCCCACTACCACCTCGGTCCTAAATATATGGAGGGTTGTGAGAGGAAGAGGGAAAGGGGTTAGGGATGTATAAGAAAAAAACATGGTAGCAAAGGGGTCTGTCCAACGGAATTTACGGATCTTTCTAATGAAGGCTGGTACTAACAGCAGCTGCACTTAGCAGGGAAGCAGATGCAGCCACTCATCTAATGAACATGTAGGAACCTGTATTAGCAAACTGAGAAATCTCTCCAAGTGGATACATACTAACACGAATGCTATCAGTATGGGAGGCAAGCAAGGATTCTTTGGGCATGCATGTCCAAGCTTCTGACAGTGGTGAAGGCTGCCTTTTCTCCTTAGGAAACCATGAACCACAGGCTCAGATCCATGGTGACATTTCTTAGGTTATACAAACATTTTTAATGAAAATGCCTGTGTTGCACAGATGGAGTTTCTGAGAGGTCGCACACGGCTGCTGAGTTTAAAGGATGCCGTATTTATACTCTGACCACGTAAAAAATAGGAAATTCAATGGAAACGGGCCATTGAAGGGACAACAGGCATTCAGGAGAGAGGATGTTTGGCTACACCAGAGAACAAAGATATAGAAACAATTCTCTGGGCTCAGAGCGTCCAGGAGAAAAAGGAAAACAAAGCTTTTTACCCAGGGACAGGACAGTTTCATAATTCATCCTCATGACTTCCCGGTAGAGGGCCTTTTGTTGCTCCGTCAAAACTTCCCACTCCTCATCGGAAAAATATATGGCCACCTCATCAAATAGGGCTGGTACCTGGAACAGTGAACAGGCCTTTCTCAACAACTAATAGGCACAGGCAGACACAGACTTACAGTACAGGTAGGACCTGAGAGACCACCTGGCCCAGCCCTGCATTTTACAGGTAAGGGACCGTGGCCTCGAGGGTTAAATGGTCTGTCCACATTTACACAGCAAGGAGAAGCAAAACAGGACAAGAGCATAGTTCTCCCTGTCTCGCTCTATCACAGAAGGCTGCACCTTCTCAGTTCACGGATTAAGAAAGCAGCGCCCTAAGAAAACACTCCCCACCACGTATCGACAGGGTAGGGACACTGGGCACTGCAAGTGCAGTGACTACTGCTCACAGCATCACCCCTGACTCTGGAAATCAAGCACATATAAGGAAATACGTGGAGAAAGTTCTCCTACCAATCCACACAGCGCAACCCTGTGCTCTCCCACTCCACCAAGACCCTCAGTCTGGGTGAGTGGGTTGAAGGAACTGGATTTGGTTTGTAAATTCAAATAGGATTCCCACCCTCCCTGGGATCTTCGGAGAAGGAAGCATTTATTCTCCGTTAATTTGGCTTCCTAGGGTATGAGCCCTCAGCTGGCTGATAATATAGGTAGGAAGTTTCAGTTCAGTTGAGGCATGTGCCAGTTAGGATGCAGGATTCAAACTAAAGGAACAGTACTCTCCATTTCCAATTCCACCCTAGGGTTTGACTTGAAACCCAAAGTCAACCAGGAGGAACCAGTGAGGGAAGGGGCCCTACCTGACCTTACCAATCTATAACAGCACAAGTAGGAGAGAGGGACTAGTAAGAGCTCAAACGTATAAAATGATATACTACAGCAAACTCATTTGTGTCCCCGATTAGACCTGGCTGGTAGAAAGCTCTAAGGACAGACCCTTTTCTGCAGAGAAGATGGCTCTACTCTCCTTTCCAGTCAGTTGGGGGAGGCTCTTTAGTAGCTAATGGCAGACAGCTTCTCGTACCAACCTCCTCTTGTTTATTAAATATTTCTTTATACAGTATTTTTTCTTTTGGTTACTGAAACTCATTCTCTAAAGCTCATCATATTAGTAGCAAGAAGTCACTGGGCAGCTCGTTTCAGGTTGGTTCCTCTGTAGTCCCACTTTCAAAGATACTCCCCAAAAGTCAATCTTGGGTCTAGGGTTAAGAACATTCATGCTCAGCTTAGAAAGTTAGTCTGGGTCTACACGGGCAGCAGCCTCTTCCGGTATGAAGTCATCCATCACTTAAACAGGCCTTTCCTCCTTCACTGAAGCCCATTCATTCCCTCCCCATCTCCTATATCTTACCACCATCCATGTTGTTGTGTTATGTGCCACTGAATTGGACTCGACTCATAGCAACCCCTCCATGGGTTTCCAAAGTGGTATCACCATGGAAGTAGATTGCCCAACCTTCCTTTCGAGGAGTGGCTGGTGGGTTTTACCACCAGCCTTCTGGGTAGCAGTCAAGTGCCTTAGGCACTATGCTACCTCCATCCATAGCACCTCACATTTAAACCCACACTGCCATTGGGCTAATTGTAACTCCTGACGACGCCGTGTGTCAGGGTACAACCGTGCTCCACAAGGTTTTCAACGGTCAAATTTTAGGAAGCATATCTTTAGGCCTTTCTTCTAAGACACCTCTGAGTGGACCCAACCTCTTTCGGTTACAGAACACGGACTAGAGCTGGTCCTGTACCTGCTTCCTTTATAGGGATAACCCCATTTAATCAAGGAGGAAACAGGCCCAGAAAGGCTATGCTTCTAGTCCAACATCACATGGCTAATAAATGGCAGGGGTGACCTAGCCCCATCTGACTCCAAGAGTCCTGACTGTACACTGGAACAGAACGGGCTCCCTGGGTGACTCAGACTCAGTTCTTCCTGACCTGTGTGCCTGGCTCTACTCAACTGCCTGCAGCTCCCTGAACAAACCATTCTCTGATGCCTCCAGGTCTTGCACATCCTTCTGCCTCTGTTAAGAGTTCCTCCCCATTTTCTGCCTGGCTAATACCCATCTACCTCCTAAGACTCCTGTTCCCCAGGAAGCCTACCCTGTCCTGGGCTGGGTGCCCACCTACACATCGCCACAATGCCCTGGGCTCAACACTGGTGGCACTTACCACATGGCATTATTCTTTGAGCTCACTTGTCTGCTTCTTCTACTAGAACACAAGCTCATGGAAGGCAGAACCTGTGCTCACTTAGTTTTGTTTTCCTAAAGTCTGGGACAGTTCTTTTAGATGCTAGTCACTTATAATATGGTTTTGCATAAACTATCTAAGCACATAATCTCTGGATTTCTCTTCTCTTGTTCCACTTGGAACAGTTTCAAGTAGCATTCAATGTTCTGTCACAAAACCAATCCTACCCTTTGGATTAAGAATGGGCAAAAATCCTTAAGTAAAAATGGATTGATCTCTAGGTGTTCCTCAGACATAGACACCAACCTGGAAACCCAGTCAGCCCAGGAATTTTGCACCCCACCCTCTCCCACTCCACAAACTTTTAAACAACTCTCCCTTTGGCCTCTTTTCTCCCTGGGAAGTTCCAGACCTAGGCCATACCTATTTATAGTCCCTATCCCTTTGCTAATAAAACTGGACTCAGGTCTGGCTATGCCCATCACTTCAGAAGGGCTGTCAATACTGAGAGTAACATATCCTCCAGACCAAACCAAACTCACTGCTATCGAGTCAATTCTAACTCATAGAACCCTATAGGAGAGGGAACTGCTCCACAGAGTTTCTAAGGCTGTCATCTTTATGGAAGCAGACTACCACATCTCTCTCCCACAGAGGGCCTGGAGGATTTGATCTACCAATCTTTTGGTTAGCAGCTGAACACATTACCACTGCACCACCAGGACTCCTAACACATCCTGTTGTTGTTGGTATGTGTCATTGATTCTGCCCTGACTCATGGCAACCCCTCCTTGGGTTTCTGAAGTGGTATCACTATGGAAGTAGATTGCCCAACCTTCCTTCCAAGGAGTGGCTGGTGGATTTGAACCGCCAACCTTCTGGTTAGCAGTCAAGTGCCTTAGGCATTCTAGGCCTACTAAATATATTGGGAGTCCTAAAGCTGTGAGAATGTTGGAGGCTGGTGCGGTATTTGACACCTCATATTTATAACTGGGCCACAAAGGATCTTCAAACAAGTCCATATTATGCTCCAGAGGCACACAGTACAGTGGCTTAGGAATTTTCACAGCAACCCTCTGTGTGAATCAAGCAAGCCTTCAGCCAGGCCCTGCTGTGCAGGCCTCCCCTCGCTCCACAGAGGCTTTTTATCTGGCTGTGCACAGCAGAAGGTAAACAGAACCAGCTCTGGGCAAAACGGGTAAGTCCACCAGCCTGTGTCCAAACCTGACAAACTTTCTTGGCCTTGCAGCGAGGTGCCCCAATCCCTGCCTTCCTCTCCTTCTCTCAGATCATAGCCCAGTGTCATAGGTGTTCTTCCGTTTGCATATATTGTTTTGCTCTGCCCAGGAAACTGGCATTCCGGCACTCTTAAAGTGCTTACACATTCCACAGCTTCATCAAAGCCTCACAACCAGCCAATGAGGGCAGGATCTTACCAAGAGAGCTTGCACTGCTATGTGCCAAGCACTGTCAGCACTTTTTATATATTTCTCACTGAATCCCTTAAATAATCTATCATTACCCTACTTTTATGGAGAAAAGAGCTATGGTGGCATTTGGCTGTTAACCAGGTCAATGGTTTGAACCCACCAGCCGCTCCAAGGGAGAAAGATTTCCATACAGCCTTAGAAACCCTATGGGGCAATTCTATTCTGTCCTATACGGTCACTATGAGTCAGAATCAACTCAATGGCCAGCGGGATTGGCTGGGTTTATAAATAAGGAAAAAGAGTTAAGTAAGTTAGCCAAAGTCATAGAGCTACAAAGTTTTACTCCAAAGGTTGACCTTTCTCACCAGGCCCCTCACTCAGACTCAGCATAGTGGCTGTGACAGCCTTAAAAAAAGTCTCCTTCTAGTCTACTATGACTCAAGGCAAAGCATGTGTCAGAGCAGAACTGTGCTTTATAAAGTTTTTAATGGCTGATTTTTCAAAAGTAGACTGCCAGGTCTTTCTTCCCAGGTGCCTCTGGGTAGACTTGAACCTCCAACCTTTCTTAGCAGTCAAGTGCTTTAACCCTCTGTACCACCCAAGGACTCTGTTGAGAACCTTAGGCTTCCCTTAGAAGGATGAGCTGAGGTCTGATGCCTCAGAGCTATTGAGAGAGGTCTAATTTTTTCAGCAGACCATACCACACCTAACTTGCGGCTCCTGGCCCATGGCCTGGCCTACTTCTCCCATCTTATCTCTTTCCATTCCCTACCATGTACTTTAGGTTCCAGCTATGTGAACATGCTCCTAATTCTACACACAAGTCTCTCTCCCCAGTGCCCCGGTGCTTTGGCTTGTGCTGTGCTCTCTGCCTAGAATGCAAGCTCCTCCCTTGGTCGATTCTACTCACAAGTAACACTCAGTTTAAAGTATGTTTTTCCTTTTTCTATTTGAAATTGTATTTCTACCCCCAATTCTTCTATAGAATTTTATCTTCATATAGAATATGGTTCTTATGTTGGAAAGGCTTTTGTTGCCTTCCCTAACATAATTCAAAATTCTTATTTTAAGAAAGAGTCTTCTCTTCCACTGATGTTCTAGAGCAGGGTTTCTCAACCTTGGCACTGACATTTCAAGCTGGATAACTCTGTTGTGGGGACTGTCCTGGGCATTACAGGATGTTTAGTAGCATCCTTGGCCTCTAATCACTAAAGGACAGTAGGATCCTACTCTCTTCTATCCCCCAGCCATGGCAAAATTATCTCTAAGTATCATCAAATGTCCCAAGAGGCAAAATTGCTCCTAGTTGGTATCACTGCTCTAGACTAGGTCAAAGGATCCCTGGTGGCACAACGTTTAAGTGTTCGGTTGCTAATTAAAAGCTCAGTGGTTTGCACCCACCCAGTGGCTCCATACGAGAAAGACTTGGCAATCTGCTCACGTAAAGATTACAGCCAATAAAACTCTATGGAGCAGTTCTACTCTGTAACATAGAGGGTTGCTATGAGTTGAAAATTGACTCAACAGCATCCAGCAACAGACTCAGTCAACGATCAGCTTCTCCTGGAAGCCTCTCCAGTTCACCAGCTTGAAAGAGGCCTCTCCTCTCTTGGCTGTCATTGTACCATGAACTGACTGCCACCACAGTGCTTTGCACACTACTCTTAATCATCCGTTTACTTCCCTGTCTTCCTCATGAGACTAGCAGCTCCATAAACGTAGGGATCTTGTCTTCATAGCACCTAGCACTGTGCTTGGTAACTGCTGGATGGACTCCTTGGAGGCCACAACACCAAATCCCCAGCACCATCAAGCTGCTGGTCCCCACTCTCCAGTTCCTCTGGTTACTTATGTCTTTCTTTCCCAACTTAAGCATAATCTTCACCTTGCTCTTTTCTCCTTGCCTCAATACATTCAGATGTCCACCTTTACCATACCTGATTTCCAAGGCTCTCTATCCCACTAGACATCCTGAGTTGGCCAACTTAGCCTCAAACCCAAGGGTTTCTACTACCTTGAGGTCTTGCTCCAGGCCAGATAAGACTGACTCCTTCCCTTACACTAGCTCAGCTGAGAGAGTCAGAACTGGGGAGAACAGAGTGGGCAAAGAATACTAAAAAGACAAAGGCAAAGTGGCTTCCACAGCTAGAATGGTAAACCCGAGCCTGCGTTGTTTGTTTTTTTTTTAATTTTTATTGTGGTTTGTATGAAAGTTTACAGAGCAAATTCACTCTGTGTTGGTTTTTATTTGTTTATTGAGGTATAACATAAACCAAAAACCAAACCCACTGCCATCAAGTCAATTCCAACTCATAGCAACTCCCAGTGGGTTTCCGAGGCAGTAAATCTTCACAGAAGTAGATTGCCCAGTCCTGCTTTCATGGAGTGGCTGGTGGGTTTGAACCACCAACCTTGTGGTTAGCAGTCAGATGCTTTAGGCATTATGCTACCAACATACATACAGCAAAATGTATTACTTTAAGGGTACAACCCAGGAGGCTTATTTTTAAGAAAAAATGTCAGTGTACATGTGTATCCTTGGGGCAAAGCTTCTCCCTGTGCCCTAGTTCCCTCATCTGAGAGGGGATCTGGATTGGATGATTTGGAAATAGCATGGTTCTATGAATATGGACCTCCCTTAGGAACAAAGAATATTATACATCCTACTATCGTTTAAACACAATGGGAAACTAGGCTCAGAAAAAGAATGTCAATTGTTGCATATTTTAAATGTTTATTATTCATGTCCAATTATCATGAGTCCAGAACTACTGTGGGTAAGAACTGTAATCGTAAATATCTGTCACAATTACACTTTTATAAGTTTATGCTATCTTACTATTCTGTGACAAACCTCCATATTCTGTCACTCACATCCCAATCCCTCAATCCTGGCCCAGCTGGAAATGCAATCTTCTGTGTGAATTACTAGTAACAGATGCTCACATAGAACCAAGTGACCTAGGTTCATAAAGCTCTCCTTACACTAGCTCAACATCCCAAGTCTTATTTGAAATGGTTCCCTTTGCCCAACAGTCAGTCAGCAAACATTTATTTCACACCTACAATGTGTATGGCATTAAGCAGGGTTCAGGGGATCTGGACTGAACAAGAGAAACAAGGCCTCAGCCTCTTGGACTTCCAACCTTGTGAAGATAAGCTACGTGGCTGGAGGGACTGTTCCCATAACCAGCATTCTTTCTTCTGCCTTTTAAAGCCACAGGACTGTTTTCTCAGGAATGCAAACACACCAGGCTGGGCTATTTTTACTTCCCCTGTCTGCCTGAGGAGACTTCACACAAGCTTGGCTCTTAGGCTTGCCCCTCACCTGTGTGTGTTGACCCCACACCTTACTTACCCATCCACCCTCTGAGCAGATTCGCACTTTCTGCATATCCGAGTGGCCATCTTCCAGTTCCTGGCTCTGAATCTCTTCTTCCTCTACCTCTTCCTTAAGAGTCAAATTGAGAGGGTAGGCTGTGGACTCCATCTCTGCAAGGAAGATTCAGTTCAGAAAAATAAAGTGTCAGCGTGAGCTCTTTAAAGCTTGTGATGCAAGAGCTCAGAGTAGTACACAAATCTCTTTAGCCCCAGATACTGCTCAGGCTGGAAAGCAGGAAGGGGACAGAGTCAGGCCTGAAGAGAAAGGGCTTCAGGGAAAGCACCAGGAAGTCTGAAGGTGACATATTTGATTATGATAAGAGAGGCTGTGGGCAGAGTAAATCTAGCTTCCTTGAAATATTAAAAAGCTATCTGCAGAAGAGAGGTCAGACTGGTTCTGTAGGGGACCCAAAGTGCATAACTAAGGCCTGTGGGTAAACATTCCCAGAAAAGGTTTAAGTACTGCATTAAAGGCAGAGCTTTCTCACAACCAGTGCCATCCAAAATGGATTTGGAATCAGTGGCAGGAGATGGCTGTTGATTTCCCATCAGTGACGGTGTCTGAACACAGACAGGACATTTACTCAACTGGGCTTAGTACAGACGAGTTAAGCTTGAGGAAGGTAGGTGGCCCAGAATACCCACCACCTGGCTTTTCAGGAACAATTCCAAATTCAAACGTTCTGTCCATGAGCAGGTTCACCTGGCTTTTCAGGAACAATTCCAAATTCAAACGTTCTACTTTGCCTTAAGAGCTTCTGCTAGGCAATAAGTCAGTAATACACAGTAAGGGGTTACGCCTAGTTACTTAAGAGGGTGCTGATATCCTTGCTGGCCACACAGACCTGAAGGCCCACCCTGACCACGAAATGACTCGATGCCTCTGCTCCCATCGTCGAGCTCCTTGCCCAGTACAAAGGGCCGCGCTCCTGCCCTCTAGGGGCGCGGGTAATTCCTAGGTGTGGAGTGAGTGTGCATCCTGTGGACTACATCCTCCAAAGGTTCCAAAGAAAAGATTCCTCCGGAGCTCAAAGTCACCTCCTTCAATATTTCCAAAAGCAACGAACGAAAGCGGCAGGGA